GAGTACAATGTAGTTCCCTAGGGTTTTACAGATATCTATAGGCTAAAGAAACTCAATGCACATGTACAGAGTACAATGTAGTTCTCTAGGGTTCTACAGATATCTATAGGCTAAAGAAACTCAATGCACATGTACAGAGTACAATGTAGTTCCCTAGGGTTTTACAGATATCTATATGCTAAAGAAACTCAATGCACATGTACAGAGTACAATGTAGTTCTCTAGGGTTCTACAGATATCTATAGGCTAAAGAAACTCAATGCACATGTACAGAGTACAATGTAGTTCCCTAGGGTTCTACAGATATCTATAGGCTAAATAAACTCAATGCACATGTACAGAGTACAATGTAGTTCCCTAGGGTTCTACAGATATCTATAGGCTACAGAAACTCAATGCACATGTACAGAGTACAATGTAGTTCTCTAGGGTTCTACAGATATCTATAGGCTACAGAAACTCAATGCACATGTACAGAGTACAATGTAGTTCTCTAGGGTTCTACAGATATCTATAGGCTAAAGAAACTTAATGCACATGTACAGAGTACAATGTAGTTCTCTAGGGTTCTACAGATATCTATAGGCTAAAGAAACTCAATGCACAGAGTACAATGTAGTTCTCTAGGGTTCTACAGATCTATATGCTAAAGAAACTCAATGCACATGTACAGAGTACAATGTAGTTCTCTAGGGTTCTACAGATATCTATAGGCTAAAGAAACTCAATGCACAGAGTACAATGTAGTTCTCTAGGGTTCTACAGATATCTATATGCTAAAGAAACTCAATGCACATGTACAGAGTACAATGTAGTTCTCTAGGGTTCTACAGATATCTATAGGCTACAGAAACTCAATGCACATGTACAGAGTACAATGTAGTTCCCTACGGTTCTACAGATATCTATAGGCTACAGAAACTCAATGCACATGTACAGAGTACAATGTAGTTCCCTAGGGTTCTACAGATATCTATAGGCTAAAGAAACTTAATGCACATGTACAGAGTACAATGTAGTTCTCTAGGGTTCTACAGATATCTATAGGCTAAAGAAACTCAATGCACAGAGTACAATATAGTTCTCTAGTGTTCTACAGATATCTATATGCTAAAGAAACTCAATGCACATGTACAGAGTACAATGTAGTTCTCTAGGGTTCTACAGATATCTATAGGCTACAGAAACTCAATGCACATGTACAGAGTACAATGTAGTTCCCTACGGTTCTACAGATATCTATATGCTAAAGAAACTCAATGCACATGTACAGAGTACAATGTAGTTCCCTAGGGTTCTACAGATATCTATAGGCTAAAGAAACTCAATGCACAGAGTACAATGTAGTTCTCTAGGGTTCTACAGATATCTATATGCTAAAGAAACTCAATGCACATGTACAGAGTACAATGTAGTTCCCTAGGGTTCTACAGATATCTATAGGCTAAAGAAACTCAATGCACATGTACAGAGTACAATGTAGTTCTCTAGGGTTCTACAGATATCTATAGGCTAAAGAAACTCAATGCACATGTACAGAGTACAATGTAGTTCCCTAGGGTTCTACAGATATCTATAGGCTAAATAAACTCAATGCACATGTACAGAGTACAATGTAGTTCCCTAGGGTTCTACAGATATCTATAGGCTACAGAAACTCAATGCACATGTACAGAGTACAATGTAGTTCTCTAGGGTTCTACAGATATCTATAGGCTACAGAAACTCAATGCACATGTACAGAGTACAATGTAGTTCTCTAGGGTTCTACAGATATCTATAGGCTAAAGAAACTTAATGCACATGTACAGAGTACAATGTAGTTCTCTAGGGTTCTACAGATATCTATCGGCTAAAGAAACTCAATGCACAGAGTACAATGTAGTTCTCTAGGGTTCTACAGATATCTATATGCTAAAGAAACTCAATGCACATGTACAGAGTACAATGTAGTTCTCTAGGGTTCTACAGATATCTATAGGCTAAAGAAACTCAATACACATGTACAGAGTACAATGTAGTTCCCTAGGGTTTTACAGATATCTATAGGCTAAAGAAACAATGCACATGTACATAGTACAATGTAGTTCTCTAGGGTTCTACAGATATCTATAGGCTAAAGAAACTCAATGCACATGTACAGAGTACAATGTAGTTCCCTAGGGTTTTACAGATATCTATAGGCTAAAGAAACTCAATGCACATGTACAGAGTACAATGTAGTTCTCTAGGGTTCTACAGATATCTATATGCTAAAGAAACTCAATGCACATGTACAGAGTACAATGTAGTTCTCTAGGGTTCTACAGATATCTATAGGCTACAGAAACTCAATGCACATGTACAGAGTACAATGTAGTTCCCTACGGTTCTACAGATATCTATAGGCTAAAGAAACTCAATGCACATGTACAGAGTACAATGTAGTTCCCTAGGGTTCTACAGATATCTATAGGCTAAAGAAACTCAATGCACAGAGTACAATGTAGTTCTCTAGGGTTCTACAGATATCTATATGCTAAAGAAACTCAATGCACATGTACAGAGTACAATGTAGTTCCCTAGGGTTCTACAGATATCTATAGGCTAAAGAAACTCAATGCACATGTACAGAGTACAATGTAGTTCTCTAGGGTTCTACAGATATCTATATGCTAAAGAAACTCAATGCACATGTACAGAGTACAATGTAGTTCCCTAGGGTTCTACAGATATCTATAGGCTAAAGAAACTCAATGCACATGTACAGAGTACAATGTAGTTCTCTAGGGTTCTACAGATATCTATAGGCTAAAGAAACTCAATGCACATGTACAGAGTACAATGTAGTTCTCTAGGGTTCTACAGATATCTATAGGCTAAAGAAACTCAATGTACTATAGACAGCTACTATTTCTTACTGAACTCGCCTGAGATTTATAAAGGTCCACAAAGATCTTCAGGGGCTGCACAAAATTTTCCATGTGCTCGAGTGAAATCTATAAGGGCTACTCACATCATATTTTTCAGAGAATCACGGTATACTCATAGTTTTTTAGGGACACAACAGATGATAATAAGCTAAACTACAGAGACTATATGCAGCACATTATTTAGAAGGTAATCAGGGATTTGTACATACATGCCTCTATATATCGTGCCTGAGTAACTAATCACGTGAGAGCCGTGTGTGTACCCGAATTTTTTTTTATTTTGTTTTTTTTTTTGTTAACTGCTGTGTAGTTCAACATTACGTAATACGACTCCATGTTTATGAGATAACAAGCATTCTGTCATAGTCTGAGGTTAGCAGATAAGGGTGGAACAAGAGAACCTGACACAGCTTTTGTTATTGAAGGACTATATTTAGTACAAAGTAAGTATATGCACCAAATAGCCGCAGTCTTTGAGGTTTGCATAAATATCTTCTGATTTTTTGTATAACGATAAACATGTCGTTTTGTCCTGTGATCATGTCGTCAATATAGGTATTCTGGTTAATGTAACCTTGACCTCTTATACGGGAGGTATTAACTCAAACTCGGTGTTTTTTGAAAAGGCAGGTATTTCTAAGGACATCATTTGTAGTAACGTCATTATTTATTCCACCTTTTAATGAAAATTAATCTGGATGGCGATACAACATTTTGAAATGCGATATACATATTTATCACAAAATCCGCCTGTTATTATGCTTATTCGCACATGTAATATATTTGCACAGATATGATATATCTGTTGTTTTTTCATTGATTGCAGCAGTCAGAAATCGATTGTTATATCATAAGATGTTACGTCATGAATTGAAAATGGCGCAACAAAATGGTTACCTCCGTTTGATTTTGTCCTCCACATTTTGACTTGTCAAAAAAAAAAAAAAAAAAAAATCTGTCAAAATAACATTTCTGAGGTTTATGGTGAAATGATCTCAAATTCCTTTCTATTTTATATGAAATTTTATGACACTAGGCTCAGAGCTTTTAATTTAGCTGTCATGGCTTTAAAAATATCCGAGAATCGTTTCATAAAATCTCATGAAATGGAAACTTATCTAAAATCATCTATACATTTATTCTAAGAACTCCTGACCCTAAGCTCCTGTGAATACACTTCCCCAGTACAAATATGCAATATGTAATGCATTCAGTGTAACACAGGGTTCATTGTGCCTCTTCTTCTCCAGGATGATAGTATCCTTGTCACATCACTTAATTCTTAAGAATTATTGGCATGTGTATTGTTTGTCTGATCATTGCCTCTGACAGGATTCAACTGATAGTGACTCTACTGTGGGACCAGAATAGATTTCTTGTTAAGCCATAATTTTATCACATTGATAAGTATACATTTGTGTATATGTGTGTGTACATATTGTTTTTGTTTTTGTTTTGTTTTGCTCTACGTGATTATCATAGGTGAACAATTAATCACTTTTGCTTTGAAAAAGTCTCGGCGTAGAGATTTGTTCTATCCTTAAACAATGTTTATGGTTAGTTTACTTAAGAGTTTTTGCCCTTTCTTTGTTGTTCTTGTTCGTAACATAATTTTATTTGCTTTCTATCCACATGAAGAATCACCAATCTTCATCTTCACACATTTAATACGTAGTATAAATATTTGGATAGAAAAATGCCTTGTGCCAAACTGGTGCCTCTCACACTCTCACACCATTACTTGTCTAACACAAGACATAAACACTTATCTGCTTAAGTTAATCACTTTTTCTAACTTACTAAATAGATGCCTATGGAGTGAAATGACGCTAATTTTCAAACAGTTTTCTATTTAATATACAGCATTAAAATGAAGGAATGTATGGTGGAAGATATGTATGGTGTAAGGAATGTATAGGTGAACTACCTAACTGGCATATTTGATATTTTATGTGGGAGTCAGTAAGAGCAACAACTAAGATAGAATTAGTTATCAAATGTCTACTTCATTAGTCTCCTTACTGGAGGTCTCTGTTTATGTATACTTTAAAATATTGGATTTAATGTCTTTACCGACAGGTTTTTGCTATGGAAACAAAGACTGCCTTAGTTACGGGTTCCACAAGTGGCATTGGCTTGGGCGTGGCCACATCTCTGGCACAGAAAGGTTACCATGTGATCATGTGTGGATCAAGGTCAAAGGAGGATGCACTTGAGGCAATTACCCAGGTGAAGAGGTATTCCTATGAAAACATTCTCCGCAGAATTACAATTATTTCAAGTCCAGATTGATGTTTTTTGTTTTGAGCTGTCTATACCCACTCCCCTCCGCAGTGTAGCTGTATGTAAAGAAGGCCAAGAAATATTGTTCTTTACCTTGGACAAGTAAATCCCCGCATTTTACCGTTGTGAGATTTATAGAATCTTTCACAACACTGGAGGTGAGATAAGAGATAGGTGGGTCTCAACCCAGGGGAAAGATGCCAAGTTAGGAGTTACAAGGCTTGTCATCCTGAGGATTGGGGTCACTCTATCTCACCAAAAAAGAGGTGAAATATTTGTTCTGTTTTATCTCATCTCCAAGGGAACGAGGTTCTGTTCGTGCCCATGTCATATATTTAGAACAATAATTGAAGGCAATCGATTTATAAGTGGTAGGAAGGGAGATAACTCCCATGTATTAGGCACAGACGATCGGCTTTCGTTTCTTCTTTTATCTCCTCAGTAATCAGTACACCTTATGCAAACATTCATTCACTTGTCGTATTAGAAACGAATTGTATCCGTTACCAAACTTGAAGACATTTATCGTTGTAGTTCTGCACTCCATAGTGTTCACTATGTGCAGGCTGACCTGAAGACAGAAGCCGGAATGGTCAGTTTATGTAAAGAGGCGGACAGTATTTGTCCTGGAGGTGTCGATATCCTAGTGAACAATGCAGGTACACATCCAATCCTTCTCTGATCTCTTTCCATGTGCATGACGTTTTTAGTCCCATCTTCGAAATCTAATTGATTTTTCAAAGATTCCGTTCTCAGCGGACACACATATGGACTTGTTCTGTGTAGCTGTGGTTGTGTCCTTGGGAAAGACACTTATAGTCCAAAATGTTTTGGAAGGTATGGGTTGCCACTAACAGCTATCAGGATACATCGCCTCAGTATGACCCTGACTGTTGATTGGACGGCAGCACCATAAAGAAACACTCTGGGCTCTGTTATTGCAATCCGAGGCTTACAATTAGGTGTTACATTGGCAACAGACAAAAGAATATTCGATCATTCGACTTTGAAAATAACGAAGACGCAACACATCAAAGTTCGTCGGCTTTTTTTCTCTTCTACCAAAGATATAAGACGACTCGTGTTATCCCTAAGATGACACACAAACCCTTTGGTCAGCTCTGACATAATTCAAAAGACGCACAGAAAATGTTTTCAGAATACTGCTTAATTAAACAATATACTGTCTATCCTTCTCATTGCATAGAACAGGTGGTTCATTGTGCCTTGTGATGTAAGTAAAGACAGTTTTATGTACATGCCGTGTAAGCAATGTATATGTTACACAGGAATGCAGCACGTCACTCCAGTAGAGGACTGCTCACTAGCGAAGTGGAATGAGATCGTAGCCATCAACCTGACGGCTCCCTTTTATCTCATCAGCCATTTTGTTCCTCGTATGAAGCAAAAGGGTATGTACTCTATCAAATAAATGGCTGGCGTTTGGATATCGTCTGGAAGTCATCAACGATTCGTCACAACCGGAAGTCAACAAAGAGTCTATGACGCTATACCAAGGAAGAGTCATGTGTCTTGTAAACCACGATATATTATTCTTGAATCCATATTAATGAACACGCTGTATATATCAGAATTTTCACATTTATGACCCTTCCATGTTCTTTCTTGAAAAGCTGTAGAAAAAAAACGAAAGACATGCAAGAGAGAGAACTTATCACAAACTTTACCACAGTTGTGCTTTCTTACCTTCACAATTTAGGGAGCGGATCAAAGTGAACTGAGGAAGAAATTTACAGTTTCACTCACGTGTTATGCTTTCATTTGTCTTACTTTATATTTAGAATTTTAAGTTAACAAATTTACGTCTATGAATAACTTTCCGTTGCCGTTGTCTTTGTGTAATGTCATACAACGTGCAAGTAATATGACCAACCAAGTCGTAATCTATTCTTGGAGATATGTTCACATCAAGAACGAGACCAAAATGACTGTATTTGATAAAATTTGGATGAGAAGCAGATCAAAGTTGCTACATGAAAATACAATGAACACATGACCTATATTTGGTATGACGCTGATTTGAATATCAGGTTGGGCCGTCTCATAAATGTCTCGTCCATGGTGGGATTGATAGCGATGGAAAATATTTCCCCGTACTGTTCCACTAAACACGGACTGGTCGGCATGACGAAGGTCTGTGTCTCGAAGTTAACACAACACGCCTTGTAAGTATGGCCGTCACGGTAACTATTTCAGCACCAAATATTTCAGTAGTACTTTATCCATGGTTAGGAGGTTTTGGAAAAGGGTACGAGACGACATTCCCCTAAAAAACAAAAACAAAATCACGGTAAAAATTCTCTCAGGGAATTGAGTTGCAGTAGCCATTTAAAAACCAGTTGTTGGGAAATTAGAATCTTCATAAAAACGGACAAATATGTCAATTGATTCACATTGGCTGAATTTCGACATAAGACATGGAGTTTTAAAATAGAAACAGTACGCACAAACCACGAAAGACATCCTTGAACGTGCATGTTGCTTGGAACAGGTTGAAGAAGGGTTTGTACATCATTATATATAAGTTATGATATCATAAAGAAAAAATTGTATATAATTACATACTCAGATGCTTTGTTTAAAGACACCTGTCAATGTTTTGTATATCTGTGATGCTGTTTCCATTATCACTGTATATGATTATAATTGCCGTCGTACAGCCCCAGGTGCAAGACGTTGTAAAGCAACACAATGTTTCTGTAGATGAAGCCAAGGTATTGATCAACACTGACGGTATCATACGTGAACATTAACTAAATGTAGGTTCTACCACATTAGAAATCTGTATGGTATTTCATGATAACTCTAAGTAAATGTTGATCTACAGGAAAGTTACGTCACAGTCTCATCTAACCTCTTTCTATTGTTTATTCTTCTTGTTTGAAGAATGTTCAGCCTTAATATAATCCCAACTATTACCAGTAGTTGACAAATTTTCCCCATTCCAGGTTTATTTATTTTGACAAATTTTCTAATCAAGCAAAACATTGGCATTTCAGAAACGTCTGTTTTGTGATTCACAACCAACCGGAAAACCAGTACAAGTTTCTCAAGTGAGTCTGCATTGGCAAAACAAAATGGAAACTTCCGATCTATGTATTTTATAATCCTGCATCCAAGGAAAGCAACGTTTAACTGTCTAATATAACAATCTTTGTGAAATTATGGGTTTAATCTACTTTTTTAGTATTTATTTTTTATCTTGCTTTCTAACTTTTCACATTTTAAGTCCCTGGCATCACTGTTGAATGTTAGAAAGACAAAACGATTGCATAATGGGGCATGATAATAGCAAAGGGGTATTGCGGATAAGGATGACTTAACACCTATTTCAGTTATCCGCACGGTCTATTATATCGACAGGTACACTTGTTATCGGTGTCGCAGTGTTAAGTAACTACATACATTAAGAGAGTGATTATTTCCACTTACCTAGAACAGAACAATCCCCAATTAATTCAAGGATCTAAAATTCAACACCACTTGATTTTTCAATTTTTACCACCACTGCAGTCATTAGTTATAAACATAGACGCGTAGAGATAAATTTGTATACTTGAAATTTGGTTGTTACCAACGCAAGTTTACCCCTCCAAGTCTCGACTTGTAATTTGGTTGTTACCAGAACAAGTTTACCCCTCCAAGTCTCGACTTGTAATCTGGTTGTTACAGCACAAGTTCACCTTCTCCAAGTCGCGATTGTAATCTCAATGTTACCAACACAAGTTTACTCCTCCAAGTCTGGACTTATAATCTAGTTGTTATAATTCATCTTAGCTGGTTTTATCGCGCAGGTGCTAAACTATTTCAACTACCGATTGTAAAAAACAAGCGTAATAATTCGTGCTTGAATTGTGTTTAGTTATCGATCTCAACAAAATGCTCATTTATCAACAGTTACCAAAAAGTTTTAGGACAATAAGACAAGAAATTTAAGAGAAGAAGAAAACGAACATGGTTTCTAATGACACCAGAAGAAATGGCTGACACCCTCTGAATAGTGAAGTGCAAATATTACAAACAAGCAGACAAAATACATCTATATACTTAAGTGTATTAAACTAACGAATCTTCACATTTCTGTTGTTATGCGGTGATTTGTTCTAAAAACAACTTTGGATTTTCCACATTTATCTACTTTTTAAAATTATTTTAGTACTCTCCATTGTAGATTGCCGATCTCGTACTGTTTCTGTGTTCTCCCGGAGCGGACAGCATGACTGGAACCTCACTGGTCATGGATGGAGGGACCATTGCTAAGTAGCGTCAGAGATGACGTCATAAGTAACGTCATTTACACCCGATTATGTCATTTAGATAGGGGTAAAATACACCAACAAGGAACAGAAAAACATTCCATTCAATATGGCGTAGGACTGAAATTGATTTAATTCACGTGTAACACGAATACTGTATATAGCTGTGATTCGGATAGGTGTAAGCGCGTGGGAAATGACAGTATGTTTGTATTACATGTTCAATTCTGTTCATGTATCATACGTTATTTCAAAATGAATGCATTTATGCAGGTATACAGTTGGTTCCTTCAATTACAGACCAATGAATGATCGTTTATATTCGCCTTTTTTTATTCTTTCCCAACGAAAGAGCATACAATGGCTCTAGGGAATCGGGCTGGTGTCGACGAAAGTGCTTACTGTTTTAACAATGTGAAACAGAATAGGTTATTGACAAACAGCAGACGCCACTGATGATTATTCCAAAGACTTTAAATCGTTTTTGAATTTATTTGTTGAAATATGTTGATCTCATATCTACCAAGACATTTGTCAATATAACAATAAAAAAATGAGAATTGATTAGTTTGTGCAGTAAAAATCGAAAGGAGACGTGTTTTTTAAATGGTATGCCTTACCAGCCTTAGCCAGGAATGATGGCTGCTTTCTTATCATCACAGATCTCTTTTGAAGTTTTTATATAAGACATTAAGGTATATCCTTACTACTCTCTATAAATACAAGGACAGCTAGAGATATTCATAAAAAACAGGACAACTCGCTGGTAGATTTCGGGACGATATCAATATGTCGATAATTTAGTCGATAATCAATAAAACAGTCAGACATAACAGAAAATATCAATTCATTTGGTGATCTGCAACAAGTAAACAATCCATAAAAATATTGAAATTACAGCTGGGACGTAATTGTCTATATAAGGACATATCTACAGTTGGGACGTAATTGTCTATATAAGGACATATCTACAGCTGGGACGTAATTGTCTATATAAGGACATATCTACAGCTGTGACGTAATTGCCTATATAAGGACTAAATACAGCTGGGACGTTATTGCCTATAGTCAGACATATCTACTGTTTGGCCGTAATTGCCTATATACTGGCATATCTACAGCTAGGATGCAATTGTCTGTACAAGGACATACTGTCTATATCATAGCATATCTGCAGCTAGGATGTAATTTCCTGTTTAAGGATACATCTGTTACTAGGACGTGGTTACCTAGATAAGGACATATCTACTGCTTGTACGTGATTACCTAAATAACAAATCTGTAGCGAAGACGTGGGCACGTGTAAGATGATAGATCTGTTGCTAGTACGTGATTACCTAAATAAGGACAAATCTGTTGCTAAGGCATAGTTACGTATGTAAGGATATATTTGTTACTAGGTCATAGTTATGTCAATAGGCTACAGAAACTCAATGTACATGTACACAGTACAATGTAGTTCTAATGAGTTTTACAGAGGTCTATAGGCTACAGAAACACAATGTATATGTACATAGAACAATGTAGTTCTTAGGAGTTTTACAGAGGTCTATAGGCTACAGAAACACAATGTATATGTACATAGAACAATGTAGTTCTTAGGAGTTTTACAGAGGTCTATAGGCTACAGAAACACAATGTATATGTACATAGAACAATGTAGTTCTTAGGAGTTTTACAGAGGTCTATAGACTACAGAAAATAAATGTATATAGTACAATATAGTTCTCTAGGGGTGCGACAGACATCTATGGGCAGCTACACACAATTCTACAAGGGCCAGACAGTAATATGTAGTCGCTATTTTCATTTTTAGAGGAACTCAAAATAGTTCTCTAGGGGCACGAAATAGGTCTATATACATTTACTAGTTCTAGTTGAACTCGACAGAGATCTATAAAGGCTACACAAAAATTTTCAGAGGCTGCACATAGTTCTGCAGGTGATCAACAGAGATCAGTAGCGGCCACACCCATCTCTTCATTGCTTTGACGGATATCTTCAGGGGCTACGCATAGTTTTCCATGTGCTCGGATGAGATCTATAAGGGCTGCACACATCATGGTTTTCAGAGAATCAAGGTACACTCATAATTTTACAGAGACACAACGGATGATAAGAGGCTTTCTACAGAGACTATATTTAGCACATAATTTAGAAGGTAATCAGGGATTTGTACATATATATCTATATATCATACGTGCCTGAGACATTAATCACGTGAAAGCCGTGCGTGTACCCGAATTTTCATTCATTGTTAAGCATACCAATAAATGTCTTAACGCAACACCAGTCACGTATTGGGAAACGTCCATTCCATTTACTCATGTATTGCCTTCATCTCTATAAGTAATTTTATCTTCAGTCATTCAGATAGTTTGAATTATCAAGGGATAGTAATGATAAAAACAAAGAAAAAATAACAAAAATAATAATTGCTGTAGTTCAACTTTACGTTATACGACTCCGTGTATATAAGATAACAAGCATTCTGTTATAGCAAGACTGAGGTTAGTAGATAAGAGTTGAGCAAGAGAACCTGACACGTCTGTTGTTATTGAAGGACTGTATTTAGTACAAAGTAAGTATATAACATCAATTAGCCTCATTCTTTGAGGTTTGCATAAATATATTCTGATCTTTTTGTATAATGATAAATATATATATATCGTTTTTTCTGCTATCTGGTCGTCAATATTGGTATGATGGTGTATGTAACCTTGACCTCATTCACGGAAGGCTTTAACTAAAGTTGATAAAGGACGGTCAAACATGTCTAATTCAATGTTTTATGATCAATACTAACGGGACCTCAATCTGTTAGTTATGTACACGTATTATGCCCTTGGAATACAGGGGAGTACAGGGTACCAAACTGATGTCCATTATCCTTTCACAGACTTACTGACGTGAGTTTATTGCCTTTGTTATTTCACACACACAGGTACCGTTGGAGTCACGGTGTTTTGAAAAGGTAAGTATTTCGGGGACAGCATTTGTAGTTATCATTTATTCCACCTTTGAATGAAAATTAGTCTGGATGACGATACAACGTTTTAAAATGCAATATACATATTTATCACAAAATCCGCCTGTTATCATGTTTATTCGCACATGTAATATATTTGCACAGATGTGATATATCTGTAGTCTTTTCATTGATTGCAGCAGTCAGAAATCGGTTGTTATATCATAAGCTGTTACGTCATGAATTGAAAATGACGCAACATAATAGTTACATCCGTTTGATATTGTCTTTCACATTTTGACTTAAAAATTCGTCAAAATATTTTTTTCTGGTGGTAAAATTATCTAAAATTCCTTTCTTTCTTATGAGATTTTATTAAATTAGTCTTAAAACTAAAGAAATATTTTTGCCGCCATATATTCATTCTGAGAACTCCTGACTCTACGTTACTGTTAATACATTTCCCCAGTACAAATATGCAACCTATAATGCATTAAAAAACAGTGTAACACAGGATTCATTGTGCCTCTTCTTCTCCAGGATGATAGTATCCTTGTCACACCACTTGGTTCTAAAGAATTATTGATATTTGTATTCTTTGTCTGATAACTGACTCTGCCAGGATTCAACTGATAGTAACTCTACTGTGGGATCAGAATAGATTTCTTGTTAAATCATAATTTTATTACGTTGATAAGTATACAGTTGTGTGTATAATGTGTGTGTACATATATTGTTTTTGTTGTTTTGTTTTGCTCTACGTGATTATCATAGGTGAACAATTCATCACTTTTAGTTTGAAAAAGTCTCGGCATAGAGATTTGTTCTATCCTTAAACAATGTTTATGGTTAGTTTACTTAAGAGTTTTTGCCCTTTCTTTGTTGTTGCTGTCCGTAACATAATTTTATCTGCTTTGTATCTACATGAAGAATCACCATCTTCATCTCCACACAATTTAATACGTTGTATACAATTTTAAATACAAAAATGCCTTGTACCGACCTGGTGCTTCTCACATCCCACCCTAATACTTGTCTCGGGCAATAGACACAAAAGTATCAGCTTCTGTTAATCACTATTACTTAATTGCTGAATTGATGCATATGGAGTGAAATGGCGCTAATTTTCAAACCGTTTTCTATTTAATATACAGAATGAAAATGAAGGAATGTATGAATGAAGGAATGTATGGTGGAAGGAATGTATAGGTGAACTACCTAAATGGCATATTTTATATTTGATGTGGGACTCAGTAAGAGCAACAACTGTGATAGAATTAGTTAGTTAGTTATCAAATGTCTACTTCATTAGTCTCCTTACTGGAGGTCTCTGTTTTTTGTATGTTGTAAAATATTGGATTTAATGCCTTTACCGACAGGTTTGCTATGGAAACAAAGACTGCCTTAGTAACGGGTTCCACAAGTGGCATGGGCTTGGGCGTGGCCACCACTCTGGCACAGAAAGGTTACCATGTGATCATGTGTGGATCGAGGTCAAAGGAGGATGCATTTGAGACAATTACCCAGGTCAAGAGGTATTCCTACGGAAAAAGTCATCGCAGAATTACAATTATTTCAAGTCCAGATGGATGTTATGTATTTCATGTTTTGAGCTGTCTATCCCCACTCCCCTCCGCAGTGTAGCTGTATGTAACGAAAGTTAAGAAATATTGTTCCTTACCTTGGACAAGTAAATCCACTCATTATACTGATGTGATATCTATAGATCTGGAGGTTAGATAGATTAATCTCAACCCGAGGGGAAAGATGTCAAGTTGTTAGAAATTACAAAGCTGGTCATCCTGAGGATTGAGGTCACCGTAACTTACCAACAAAGGTGAATGATGTTTTTCTTTTTCTTCTCATCTCCAAGGGAATGAAATATTTTATTAGTCCCCATGACATATGATTAAAATAATACTTGGAGGCAATCGATTTATAAGTGGTAGGAAGGGAGATAACTCCCATATATTAGGCACAGACGACCGGCTTTCGTTTCTTCTTTTATCTCCTCAGTAATCAGTACACCTTATGCAAACATTCATTCACTTGTCGTATAAGAAACGAATTGTATCCATTACCAAACGTGAAGACATTTATCGTTGTAGTTCTGCACTCCATACTGTCCACTATGTGCAGGCTAACCTGAAGACAGAAGCCGGATTGGTCAGTTTATGTAAAGAGGTGGACAGTATTTGTCCTGGAGGAGTCGATATTCTGGTAAACAATGCAGGTACACATCCAATTTTTCTCTGATCTCTTTCCATGTACATGATTTTTGTAGTCCCATCTTCGAAATCTAATTTACTTTCAAAGATTCCATTCTCGGCCGACACACGTTAGGACTTGTTCTGTGCAGCTGTGGTTGTGTTCTTGGGAAAGACACTTATTGTACAAAATGTTTTGGAAGGTATGCGTTGCCACCAACTGCTATCGCCTCAGTATGATCCTGTCTGTTGATTGTATGGCAACACCAATAAATACAGAAAACAATCTGGTGTCTTTTATTTCAATATCCCAAACTTACAATTAGGTGTTACATTGGCAACTGACAAAAGAATATTCGATTATTCGGCTTAAAAATGGCGTTTGAAAATTACGAAGACGCAACACATCTAAGCTCGGCAATATACAAGGCGACTTGTGTTATCACTAAAATGACACAGAAATCCTTTGACCATTAGCTCTGTCATATTCAAAAGACACAGAAAATGTTTTCAGAACACTGCTTAATTAAATAATATACTTTCTATCCTCCTCATTACATAGAACAGGTGGTTGATAGTGCCATGTGATGTAAGTAAAGACGGTTTTATGTACATGACGTGTAAGCAATGTATATGTTACACAGGAATGCAGCACGTCACTCCAGTAGAGGACTGCTCACTAGCGAAGTGGAATGAGGTCGTAGCCATCAACCTGACGGCGCCTTTTTATCTCATCAGCCATTTTGTTCCTCGTATGAAGCAAAAGGGTATGTACTCTATCTAATAAATGGCTGGCGTTATGATATCGCCTGGAAGTCAACAAACGATTCGTCACAACCGGAAGTCAACAAAGAGTCTATGACGCTATACCAAGGAAGAGTCATGTCTCTTGTATACCACGATATATTATTCTTGAATCCATATTAATGAAGACGCTGTATATATTAGAATCCTCACAGTTCTGACCCTTCCATGTTCTTTCTTGAAAAGCTGTAGAAAAACAACGAAAGACATGCAAGAGAGAGAACTTATCACAATCTTTATCACAGTTGTTTCTTACGCTCACAATTTAGATGACAGCTTAGACTTAAACTGATGTAGAGATCTATAGTTTCTCTCCCGTGTCATGTAGTATTTCGTCACGCTTGTATTTGTCTTACTTTATATTTAGAATTTTAAGTTAACAAATTTACGTCTATGACTATCTTACCGTTGCCTGTTACCTTTATGTAATGTCATACAACGTGCAAATAATATGACCAGCCAAGTTGTAATCTATTCTTGGTGATATGTTCATCAAGAACTTCACTAAAACGACTGTATATCTGATTTATGGTATAAGAAAAAATATGGTTTAGTAGCGGATCAGCGTTGCTCCATGAAAATACAATGAACACATGACCTATTTTTTGTATGATGAAGATTTGATTATCAGGTTGGGGCCGTCTCATAAATGTCTCGTCCAGGATGGGATTGGTAGCGTCGGCAAATAAGTCCCCGTACTGTTCCACTAAACACGGACTGGTCGGCATGACGAAGGTTTGTGTCTCCAATTTAACACATCAAGATTCTTAACTCTGTGTATGTGTCTGAATTTCCAAACACGTCCATTTTGTGAGAGGTGTGTAATTTACAGTTTGTAATTTTTGTTAGTGAATATACCATTATTTTCGTGTGACAAAATATTGAATATTGTAATTAAAACTGAAAACAACTGTATCGTTGTGTTATTCTTAGGCTGTCGCTTTGGAAACAGCCCCTCACGGCATCACGTGTAACGCCATCTGTCCGGGCTGGGTAGACACGCCTTGTAAGTATGGCCGTCACGGTAACTATTTCAGCACAAAATATTTCAGTATTACTTTATCCAAGGTTTGGAGGTTTTGGAAAAGGGTACGAGATGACGTGCCCCTAAAAAACAAAAACAAAAGCACGGTAAAAATTCTCTCAGGGAATTGAGTTGCAGTAGCCATTTAAAAACCAGTTGTTAGGAAATTAGAATCTTCATAAAAACGGACAAATATGTCAATTGTCTCACATTGGCTGAATTTCGACATAAGACATGGAGTTTTAAAATAGAAACAGTACGCACAAACCACGAAAGACATCCTTTTACGTGCATGTTTATTGTTACAGGTTGAACAACTGTAAACTAACACTCGACAAACCCAAATTTAGTCTTCCATTTAGACAAGATATTGCATCAAAACATGATTTTTATGACAAATATGGACAGTTTTGGATTTCCTGTGTATGATATGTTACTCTAATACATAATACCACTTGTAAACCCATGTGACTTCTAAATTCTGCTTAAGTAACGGATGACATAAGGAAATATCAGACGTGGAACATAATTAGCATTACCCAGACTAATTATTACTTTCTTCCTATGTAATTCAGATATCAATATCTGAATACGGTTTCCTCTTCACTTCAAATAACTATTGATTTTCAACATCGTTGATGATTATCTAGTTTTGTATCTGATCCACCTTGTCTGATGGCACCTGATAACGTTACTATATTTTTGAATCCAGTCCGTTTTCTTTTAGGAGGAAAAGTTATAATATTATAGTTTGTATATAATTATATAAAATTTATAATATCATAAAGAAAATTTTGTATATAATTTCAAGCTCTGATGCCTTGTATATAATTACATACTCTGATGCCTTGTTTAATACAGACACATGTCAATGTTATGTATATATATGATGCTATTTTTCTATTACCACTGTATATGATTATACTTGCAGTCGTACAGGCCCAGGTGCAAAACGTTGTAACGCAACACAATGTTTCTGTAGATGAAGCCAAGGTAATTGATCAACACTGACGGTATCGTACGTGAACATTAACTAAATGTAGGTTCTACCACATTAGAAATCTATATGGAATTTCATGATAACTCTAAGTAAATGTTGATCTACAGGAAAGTTACGTCACAGTCTCATCTAACATCTTTCTATTGTTTATTCTTCTCGTTTGAAGAATGTTCAGCCTCAATATTTTCCCAACTATTAGCAGCACTTGACAAATTTTCCCCATTCCAGGTTTAATTATTTTGACAAATTTTCTAATCAAGCAAAACATTGGCATTTCAGAAACGTCTGTTTTGTGATTCACAACCAACCGGAAAACCAGTACAAGTTTCTCAAGTGAGTCTGCATTGGCAAAACAAAATGGAAACTTCCGATCTATGTATTTTATAATCCTGCATCCAAGGAAAGCAACGTTTAACTGTCTAATATAACAATCTTTGTGAAATTATGGGTTTAATCTACTTTTTTAGTATTTATTTTTTATCTTGCTTTCTAATAATGGAGCATGACAATAGCAAATGGGTATTGCGGATAAGGATGACTTAACACCTATTTCATTTAACCGCACGGTCTATTATATCGACAGGTACACTTGTTATCGATGACTCAGTGTTGAGATTTTACATACATGAAGAGAGTGATGATTTCCACTTACCTAGAACAGAACAATCCCCAATTAATTCAAGGATCTAAAATTCAACACCACTTGAGTTTTCAATTTTTACCACCACTGCAGTCATTAGTTATAAACATATACGCGTAGAGATAAATTTGTATAATTGTAATCTGGTTGTTACCAGCACAAATTCACCCCCTCCAAGTCTCGACTTGTAATCTGGTTGTTACCGACACAAGTTTATCCCACCAAGTCTCGACTTATAAACTGGTTGTTACCAGCACAAATTTACCCCGTCCAAGTCTCTGTACGGCTTTCCTAGCCATGACTCGGCCGACATTAATAGACTCAATATATCATGTTGGTAGCTGGACTTTCAGGGTGATCATTTAATGGCTGCAACATCTATGAATATATAATAAATCAGTAGCAGAATTTTAACCACAATGTATTGTATCTGGTTAAGTTGGGCAGCGAGAGGGACCCTATTTTTCTTCCGTTTACCATCCTTTCCCAAACGGAAGTAGATCAGGATAATTGAAATGCTTGTATTAGCTAAGCGTCTAATTGAGAAATATTTAAATTAACTTCCTCAAGCTTGAACAGGACATTCAAGAGTTCGAGCAATACATCCATATTTCCCAATACACAAAATTTAAGTTTTACCCACTAGCTGACAGATTTTTACCACTTAATCTAAGTTGGTCTTACCGCGCAGTTGCTAAACCATATCAACTACCGATTATTAAAACAAGCGTATTAATTCGTGCTTGAATTGTGTTTAGTTATCGATCTCAACAAAATGCTCATTTATCAACAGTTACAAAAAAGTTTAAGGACAATAAGAAAAGAAAGTTATAAGAAGAAGAAAACGAGCATGGTTTCTAATGACACCAGAAGAAATGGCTGACACCCTCTGTATGGTGAAGTACAAATATCACATACAAGCAGACAAAATACATCTATATAAATGTGTAAAACTAACGAAACTTCACATTTCTGTCGTTATGCGGTGATTTGTACTGAAAACAACTTTGGATTTTCCACATTTATCTACTTTTTAAAAATTATTTTAGTACTCTCCATTGTAGATTGCCGATCTCGTACTGTTTCTGTGTTCTCCCGGAGCGGACAGCATGACTGGAACCTCACTAGTCATGGATGGAGGGACCATTGCTAAGTAGCGTCAGAGATGACGTCATAAGTAACGTCATTTACACCGGATTACGTCATATAAATAAGGGTTAAAGATACCAAAAAGGAAGAGAAAGACATTCCATTGAAAAAAAAATACATTTAATGATTTTTTTTCAGTTACCGTATAATGGCGTACGACTGAAATTTATTTAATTCACTTGTAACACTAATACCTTATATAGCTGTGATTCGGATCAGTGAAAGCGCGTGGGAAATGACAGTATGTTTGTATTAGATGTTAAATTCTGCTTGTGTATCATATGTTATCTCAAAATGAATGCATTTATGCAGGTATACAGTTGGTTCCTTCAATTACAGACCAATAAATTATCGTTTATATTCGCCTTTTTTATTCTTTCCCTACGAAAGAGCATACAATGGCTCTAGGGAATCGGGCTGGTGTCGAGGAAAATGCTTACTGTTTTAACAATGTGAAACAGAATAGGTTATTGACAAACAGTAGACGCCACTGATGATTATTCCAAAGACTTTAAATCTCGTTTTATTTGTTGAAATATATTGATCTCATAGCTACCAAAGACATTTTGTTTATATAACAATAAAAAAAAAAGATGAGAATTGATTAGTTTGTACAGCAAAAATCGAAAGGAGACGTGCATTTTAACGGCATGCCTTACCAGCCTTAGCCAGGAATGATGGTTGCTTTCTTATCATAACAGATCTCTTTTTAAGCTTTGATATAGGACATTAAGGTATATCCTTACTAAATTCTATAAATACAAGAACAGCTATAAATTGTCATAAAACAGGACAGGCCTCTCTGTCGTAAAATTGTATTTTTTTCAAACTTGCTAGTAGATTTCGGGACGATATCAATTTGTCGATAATTTTGTCCATAATCAATAAAACAGTCAGACATATCTGAAAATATTTTTTAATTTGGTGATCTGCAACAAGTAAACTATCCCGAAAAAATACTGGGAAAAATATCGAAATTTAGATGTAATCATCAGCATGGGTTATGCTCATAGGGCAGAAGCAACGTGAATCGGACACCAAAATAATAGTTTGCCTTGGCCGTATTTTGTATGGCACAAATGATACAGTAAATATTTGAATGAAACCCACTACTATTAAACGATGACCGCATCAATGTCCTAGATATGAATATTCAATAAGGGTCATGAGCGGTTATTTGATGGTCAATGGCTCCTGTGGGACCTTTTATCTTGCACGTGTCTAATAATGGCAGACCAACACCGGATATAGTTACTACGTTCATAGTCTATAATCGAACATTTATATTCTCAATGAAGCATTAGCTTCACTTTCTAATCTAGAACGCGTGAATTATTATCCATTAGACATTTCTGAATATGTGATTTGCTTATAACGTATTCATATCCGTTAACGTCATTCATTCATATTACAACTGTATGAAGCAGTCAGTGAAAAAACAGTTCAACCCTATTAACGGTAAACTGACTATGATACTATTCGAAAGTGACTTCAAAGATATAATATCTATATTCGCATGGCGATGTCACGATAAAAGCTAACAAGAAAACACGTGACCATTACAAAGCCTTTATTATTCATCAAGCAAAATCGTATGCTTGCCTGCAAAACACTTCCATTTATTGTGCCCATTTCGTTAGAACATCGACGATGTTGGTTTGTCATAACATCAATCCAGTTAGTTCAAATTCAACCATTGTTTAAAGACCGTTTAGAAATTTGACGATTCGTTTTAAATGCATTTTGTTTCATTTCAAATAATAACGACAAGAGGCCCAAAGGGCCTGTATCGCTCACCTGGATCTTTATGACCAACATTACTATATTTGTGCATATGTTCCACAGTAGATGCTTAAAGCAAAATGGCAAATTACTCCATATGGGTTCTGTCCCTTAGAAGTCCAAAATAAGTCATTTATATATAAACCTTTAATTACCAAATATGATGGGTTTTTGGTTAATCAGAAGAAGTTGATTAACTATTTTACCAAATCTAACCCTAATGACCTTAAATATCATTATGGGTCAAGCTATTTTTTCACACACTATGTGGGCACCATTAAGGGAACATTTTGGACAAATATTATGATCCTAAGCCTTTAGCTTAATCAGAAGTTGTTCAAAGGTTTAAGACATTTGACTGTTGTGACCTTGAATATGATTCAAGGTCATTTCTGTTCTCAAATATTACCGGGCATCATTGAGAACCTATTTTGGAATAATATCACTATCCTAGATGTTTTGGATCATCAGAAAATGTAATTTAAAGGTTTAACACATTTGACCCCAGTGACCTTGACTATGAAGCAAGATCATTTCTTTTTGCAACTTTCTTGGACTTCATAAAAGGAACATACTGGCCAAATATAATGATTCTAGGCTTTTCTATATTTCATAAGAAATTGCTTAAACGTTTTAACACATTTGACTCCTGTGACCTTGAAGATTGGTCAAGGTAATTTCTTTTAACAAACTTTGTAGGACACCATAAGAGCAGCATATTAACCTAATATAATCATTCTAGGCCTCCGGTATTTTGAAAGAAGTCGTTTAAAGGTTTTAACACATTTGACATCTGTGACCTCGAATAAGGGTCAAGGTCATTTCTTTTTGCAGACTTTTTGGGCTTTTTCGATGGAACCTTCCAGCCAAATTTAATTATCCTAGGCCTTCTAGTATTTTGAAAGAAGTCGTTTAAATATTTTAACACATTTGACCTTTGTGACCTTGAATAAGGGTCAAGGTCATTTCTTTTTGCAATCGTTGTTGGGCTTGATGAAAAAACTTCCAGACAAATATAATGATTCTGGGCCTTCTGGTATTTTGAAAGAATTCGTTTAAAGGTTTTAACACATTTGACATCTGTGACCTCGAATAAGGGTCAAGGTCATTTCTTTTTGCAAACATTGTTGGGCTTTATCAGAGGAACCTTCCAGCCAAATATAATGATTCTAGGCGATCTGGTATTTTGAAAGAATTCGTTTAAATGTTTTAACACATTTGACCTGGGTGACGTTGAATATGGGTCAAGGTCATTTCTTTTTGCAAACTCTGTTGGGCTTCATCAGAGGAACCTTCCAGCCAAATATGATAACTCTACGCCTTTCGGTATTTCAGAAGAAGTTGTTTATATGAAAAGTTGACAGACGCAGGACGGACGGACGGAGTGAGCTAATAATATCATATTAATCTGCATTGACAGCTGCTATACGCAACATACAAAATATAGAATGACACTCCTCTTGAGTACTTAAAACGCTCACAAACAACGAAGCTACCAGAAAAGTACACAAACTCCCATACAAAACGATTGAAGGAGCCGATCACATTGAAAAGGCAGAGAACAGAGGCTACGAAAACCACTATGTCAACGTATTTTCTCCATTCGGAAATCCTCTCTTTCCATGTGAATTTATCTCCTTAACAAAATCAAACGGCGACGATATGAGTTGTTTATGATAAATTACATTTCCCCTGCTTTATTTAATACTGACATATCTACAGCTGAGACGCAATAGTCTATATAAGGACATATCTACAGCTGGGACGTAATTGTCTATATAAGGACATATCTACAGCTGGGACGTTATTGTCTATATAAGGACATATCTACAGCTGAGACGTAATTGTCTATATATTGACATATCTACAGCTTGGACGTAATTGTCTATATAAGGACATATCTACAGCTGAGACGTAATTGTCTATATATTGACATATCTACAGCTTGGACGTAATTGTCTATATAAGGACATATCTACAGCTGAGACGTAATTGTCTATATATTGACATATCTACAGCTTGGACGTAATTGTCTATATAAGGACATATCTACAGCTGGAACGTCATTGTCTATATATTGACATATCTACAGCTAGGACGTATTTGTCTATATAAGGACATATCTAGAACTAGGGCGTATTTGCCTATATAAGGACATATCTAGAACTAGGGCGTATTTGCCTCTATAAGGACAAACTACAGCTGGAACGTCTAGAGCTTAGACGTAATTGACTATTTAAGGACATACTGTCTATGTCATACCATATCTGATGTTGGGATGTAATTTCCTATTAAAGGATACATCTGTTGCTAGGACGTGGTTAACTAGATAAGGACATATCTGCTGCTGGGAAATTATTACCTAAATAAGCACAAATCTGTCGCTAAGATATGGTTACGTATATAATAATACATCTGTTGCTGGGATGCAGTTACGTTTATAGGGACATGCTGGGAGGTAGTTACCTGTATCAGGACATATCTTCTGCTGGTACGTGGTTACCTATCTTAGAACATATCTACTGCTAAGACATTGTTACCTATATTAGGACATATCTTCTGCTGGTACGTGGTTACCTATATTAGGACATATCTACTGCTGGGAAGTAGTTACCGTGTATTAGGACATATTTACTGCTGGGACGTAGTTACCTATATTAGGACATATCTACTGCTGGGATATGGGTACCGTGTATTAGGACATATCTACTGCTGGGACGTAGTTACCGTGTATTAGGACATATAAAATGTTCGGACGCCGTTACGTATACTAGAACATATCTACTCCTGGGACGTAGTTACCTATATTAGGACATATCTACTGCTGGGACGTAGTTACCTATATTAGGACATATCTACTGCTGGGACATAGTTACCTATATTAGGACGTATCAACTGCTGGGACGTAGTTACCTATATTAGGACATATCTACTGCTGTGACATAGTTACCGTGTATTAGAACATATCTTCTTCTGGGACGTAGTTACCTATATTAGGACATATCTACTGCTGGGACGTAGTTACCTATAATAGGACATATCTACTGCTGGGACGTAGTTACCTGTATTAGGACATATCTACTGCTGGGACGTAGTTACCAATATTAGGACATATCTACTGCTGGGACGTAGTTACATATATATTAGGACATATCTACTGCTGGGACATAGTTACCTATATTAGGACGTATCAACTGCTGGGACGTAGTTACCTGTATTAGGACATATCTACTGCTGGGACGTAGTTACCTATATTAGGACATATCTACTGCTGGGACATAGTAACCTATATTAGGACATATATACTGCTGTGACATAGTTACCTGTATTAGGACATATCTACTGCTGGGACGTAGTTACCTGTATTAGAACATATCTACTGCTGGGACGTAGTTACCTATAGTAGGACATATCTACTGCTGGGACGTAGTTACCTATATTAGGACATATCTACTGCTGGGACATAGTAACCTATATTAGGACATATCTACTGCTGGGACATAGTAACCTATATTAGGACATATCTACTGCTGGGACGTAGTTACCTATATTAGGACATATCTACTGCTGTGACATAGTTACCGTGTATTAGGACATATCTACTGCTGTGACATAGTTACCTATATTAGGATATATCTACTGCTGGGACATAGTTACCTATATTAAGACGTATCAACTGCTGGGACGTAGTTACCTATATTAGGACATATCTACTGCTGGGACATAGTTACCGTGTATTAGAACATATCTACCGCTGGGACGTAGTTACCTGTATTAGGACATATATACTGCTGTGACATAGTTACCGTGTATTAGAACATATCTACTGCTGGGACGTAGTTACCTATATTAGGACATATCTACTGCTGGGACGTAGTTACCTATATTAGGACATATCTACTGCTGGGACATAGTAACCTATATTAGGACATATCTACTGCTGGGACGTAGTTACCTATATTAGGACATATCTACTGCTGTGACATAGTTACCGTGTATTAGGACATATCTACTGCTGTGACATAGTTACCTATATTAGGACATATCTACTGCTGGGACATAGTTACCTATATTAAGACGTATCAACTGCTGGGACGTAGTTACCTATATTAGGACATATCTACTGCTGGGACATAGTTACCGTGCATTAGAACATATCTACCGCTGGGACGTAGTTACCTGTATTAGGACATATATACTGCTGTGACATAGTTACCGTGTATTAGAACATATCTACTGCTGGGACGTAGTTACCTATATTAGGACATATCTACTGCTGGGACGTAGTTACCTATATTAGGACATATCTACTGCTGGGACATAGTAACCTATATTAGGACATATCTACTGCTGGGACATAGTAACCTATATTAGGACATATCTACTGCTGGGACGTAGTTACCTATATTAGGACATATCTACTGCTGTGACATAGTTACCGTGTATTAGGACATATCTACTGCTGTGACATAGTTACCTATATTAGGACATATCTACTGCTGGGACATAGTTACCTATATTAAGACGTATCAACTGCTGGGACGTAGTTACCTATATTAGGACATATCTACTGCTGGGACATAGTTACCGTGTATTAGAACATATCTACCGCTGGGACGTAGTTACCTGTATTAGGACATATATACTGCTGTGACATAGTTACCGTGTATTAGAACATATCTACCGCTGGGACGTAGTTACCTGTATTAGGACATATCTACTGCTGGGACGTAGTTACCTATATTAGGACATATCTACTGCTAGGACGTAGTTACCTGTATTAGGACATATCTACTGCTGGGACGTAGTTACCAATATTAGGACATATCTACTGCTGGGACGTAGTTACCTATATTAGGACATATCTACTGCTGGGACATAGTTACCTATATTAGGACGTATCAACTGCTGGGACGTAGTTACCTGTATTAGGACATATCTACTGCTGGGACATAGTTACCGTGTATTAGAACATATCTACCGCTGGGACGTAGCTACCTGTAATAGAACATATCTACTGCTGGGACGTAGTTACCTGTATTAGGACATATCTACTGCTGGGACGTAGTTACCTATATTAGGACATATCTACTGCTGGGACGTAGTTACCTGTATTAGGACATATCTACTGCTGGGACGTAGTTACCTATATTAGGACATATCTACTGCTGTGACATAGTTACCGTGTATTAGGACATATCTACTGCTGTGACATAGTTACCTATATTAGGACATATCTACTGCTGGGACATAGTAATCTATATTAGGACATATCTTCTTCTGGGATGTAGTTACCTATATTAGGACATATCTACTGCTGGGACTTAGTTTGATATGTAACAACATCTATTGCTCTGTTGTGATTACATATTTACAGTACATAGAACCTTTCAGTAATTCACAGCTCGCCAACTCGCACCATTAACGTTTAAATTACACGGTTTTAATTTATCATTTAACTGCTTTGTATTTATTCACGCATTAAAACGTGACATAGCAGATAATATTACCACTATGATTTATGTTGTTTGAACGCAAGCAGAATCCTGAATATCATCGGTCAGACAAAACCAAGAAATAGGCGGAACAGAGGAGGCGAAAAAATCAGCCAACCGATCATATAACCAGCAAACAAACAACCGACACCCTAAACAAGACAAACACCTTTCACAACAAACACAAACCAACATTCCCTCTAAACCATTCACGCACTCCCGCACTCACTCAACAACCAACATCCCCTCCAAACCAATCAATCGATTACTTGTTTGATTTGTTTTATTGAATAATTAATTGATTGATTAATTGATTGATTGATTGATTGATTGATTGATTGATACTTAAGGTGTCATAACAATTTATTTGAAATTAACATATATAGAAGCTGATTCTATACTGCCATTCTAATACGTTGTTTAGATGCACTGAATACTCTCATTATTTCATTACAGAAATATTACATGCTTCAAACCTACTTAACGTACAACCTGATTTAAGAATTTAAAGATAAAATGCCAGTTTAGATGAAAACATATCTACAGAGACTTGCCTTTGAAACTAACCACACAAGTGTCGTGAATCTACATTAGACCCTAGCATACGCTGTCTGCATTCTGAACACATACACATATATTTTCTTGTATTACGTATGCACATAATTTCCAAACTTATCTACATTTCATTTGCAGAAAAGGTCAAACTTCTAAAATTTGTTCAGTTTTGCTTATCGCTGAATCACCACGCGAAATATTTCCCGCTTGAATAGTTGACCTCATCTCCGCTACACATCATAATTTACATATTGGGCTTACCACATTGACAGCTGCCTCAATAAAGCCATCATTTTATCTCATTTACATATCGCTGTAATACCGCATTAACACGGATGAGCATTCAGTGAATCAAAAACAACACGGCGGGACAAAGGATACCAGTAATTAATTAAAGATGGCGCAGTGCCGAGGTCCGGGCGTGTCACTATGCTTGGTGCTACATCTTGTGTTATGGAGTAACGTATCCGTCCTGGCTATCACACAACAGGTAGGTGTTGATTCAGTAACAGACTGTTCTGCATTGTAAATAAGGGTTTATATATACCCCTTAGATTTGATGTTTAAAGAGAACATCTATGTCTATACTAACACAGTACAACATACATGTACTTAACATTGTAGTACGTTGATGTAGAATGTACCTTATATCTGTCACACGAGCTCTAATACAATAGATCTATATCATTATTTTGTTAATATGAAATTAAATTAAAACTAATTTCCATATGAAAATCATTATAAATTTTATCAAATGTACCTACAATTTAAATAGGAACTTTTGATAAACTTCCTTATATGTGTTGTATGCATCAATATTTATTATTTCATATGACACTGGTGATATATTCTCTAAACAAATATGTATCCTGTCATACTCATGGAAAGTTACACACCTGACAATTATAGTCGGTCAGAGTCTGTATGGTCTCTTACTGTGAGAAAAAAAACTTAGTGTGTGGTTTCTTTACCTGTCTCATAAACCGGTACTATTGTCAACGTTCTTTCGGTAATGTTGAATATGTTATAAACATGATTTCCTTTATATATGATAACTGACAATAGACGTGAGCTAACCTATCGCCGCTAAACATGTTTGAATTCTAAAAACACGGAGCCTGGGATTCTGACGACTGTGAATTCTACATGAGTAGTGTATTTCATCATTAGAACAATTCTAAGCCTAGGAAAGGTTTTCTCGAACAATATATTCTCGTTACCTTCCTGCCAGTCAGCATGTTCCCAAATTAAACTGGAGGTCATCCGTGTGTCACATTATCACTGTCGGGTTATGTTACGCCCAGGTCTAATATTTTCTTAAACAACATTGGTCGGGGCAGGTGAATTCAGAAGATTAACATACGGGAACTTCAGTGTACGTGATTCGCCCAGACATACCTTTTTTCACCCGTTTTCTGCTAAGAAGAGAAACCCTCCAGGAACGTGGTTCTGTTGATTCATGTCTATATGTAAATGTACTTAATAGATTTTATTAAATGAAAAATCTAAGAAAAATGGATACGTATTTCGAATAATTGTATAAGACGAAAGCTGTTTATAAGTAAACAAATAATGCGGATGTCATAGACTTGTATCCATAGATAGTCTAAAAAAAACATCAAATCAATTATACATGTTCCAAATTTTATTTCAAGTAGAATTGATGTGCAGGGCTTTATCATCGAACCCCGATATATTTCTATTGATCATACAGTTCGGCGTCACCCGGAATTCATTGATGGAGTGGTGCCTCAAATATAATTATCAATGTTTTAGATACATCATTGTCACTGTTAATGGTTGTAGATGTATGTTGTCGTAATCTTTGTTTCACACACACAAAAAAAAATTCATTAGTTACCATTCGTCTCTGTTACACCAGCAAGACAAGGTGATACAAAATATCACGAGCTCTCATCTCGCTCTAAATAGGTAGCATGATACGTGCGTTCGCCGTTCTGTAGTGTCTGGGATATTAACAAGTCTGACATATAGATATGATTAGATAGTTTGGCGTTGTTGATTTAAAGGCTTTCCAGTTTTATGTCCGTATATTTTTTATGTGTGATGTCGAGCCCGTATTTGTGCTGTTTTGGTGTGAAGATGTGCGCGTAATAAGATCGTTTTTGTGCCAACAAGATAAATGGCGGATGATGTAACATGAAGGCACCAGTATTACTGTGTCTGTTTGTGATGTAATTGACTTGCGATAATGTTTCATGAACACATGGGTTGATATATGTATTAAAATATCACTTGTTTACAGTGTTAGACGGATGGAACATATAAAATAGTTTACATATATAACGTGTTTCCCAGAAACAGGACCTCTGCAACAAACAGCTTCTCTTCACAACTCAATTAGCGAGCTCATTACTCATTCCCGTCACAGATATCTGTGTAGCTGTGTTTTACTAAGAAAACGTTGTTATTGATATTACAATCTTCCTCTGATTTATTTTATTCTCTCTGTTTGGTATTCCTCAATTACTGTATGTGTTTTTTGAGCTGTTTTGGTAAACTTATTTCCGTTATCTCGTCATTGGGTATAGAGGATGAGAGACATTATGATGGGTATACTATAGAGGATGGGAGACATTATGATGGATATGCTATAGAGGATGGGAGACATTATGATGGGTATACTATAGAGGATGGGAGACATTATGATGGGTATAGAGGATGGGAGACATTATGATGGGTATAGAGGATGGGAGACATTATGATGGGTATACTATTGAGGATGGGAGACATTATGTTGGTTACTATAGAGAATGGGAAACATTATGATGGGTATAGAGGATGGGAGACATTATGATGGGTATACTATAGAGGATGGGAGACATTATGATGGGTATACTATAGAGGATGGGAGACATTATGATGGGTATAGAGGATGGGAGACATTATGATGGGTATACTATAGAGGATGGGAGACATTATGATGGGTATATAGGATGGGAGACATTATGATGGGTATACTATAGAGGATGGGAGACATTATGATGGGTATAGAGGATGGGAGACATTATGATGGGTATACTATAGAGGATGGGAGACATTATGATGGGTATACTATAGAGGATGGGAGACATTATGATGGGTATAGAGGATGGGAGACATTATGATGGGTATACTATAGAGGATGGGAGACATTATGATGGGTATACTATAGAGGATGGGAGACATTATGATGGGTATACTATAGAGGATGGGAGACATTATGATGGGTATACTATAGAGGATGGGAGACATTATGATGGGTATAGAGGATGGGAGACATTATGATGGGTATAGAGGATGGGAGACATTATGATGGGTATAGTATAGAGGATGGGAGACATTATGATGGGTATACTATAGAGGATGGGAGACATTATGATGGGTATAGAAGATGGGAGACATTATGATGGGTATAGAGGATGGGAGACATTATGATGGGTATACTATAGAGGATGGGAGACATTATGATGGGTATAGAGGATGGGAGACATTATGATGGGTATACTATAGAGGATGGGAGACATTATGATGGGTATACTATAGAGGATGGGAGACATTATGATGGGTATAGAGGATGGGAGACATTATGATGGGTATACTATAGAGGATGGGAGACATTATGATGGGTATACTATAGAGGATGGGAGACATTATGATGGGTATACTATAGTGGATGGGAGACATTATGATGGGTATACTATAGAGGATGGGAGACATTATGATGGGTATACTATAGAGGATGGGAGACATTATGATGGGTATACTATAGAGGATGGGAGGATGGGATAGAGGATTATGATGGGTATGATGGGTATAGAGGATGGGAGACATTATGATGGGTATAGAGGATGGGAGACATTATGATGGGTATACTATAGAGGATGGGAGACATTATGATGGGTATACTATAGAGGATGGGAGACATTCTGATGGGTATACTATAGGGATAGGAGACATAATGATGGGTATACTATAGAGGATGGGAGACATTATGATGGGTATACTATAGGGAATACTATAGAGGATTGGAGACATTATGATGGGTATACTATAGAGGATGGGAGACATTATGATGGGTATACTATAGAGGATGGGAGACATTATGATGGGTATACTATAGAGGATGGGAGACATTATGATGGGTATACTATAGAGGATGGGAGACATTATGATGGGTATACTATAGAGGATGGGAGACATTATGATGGGTATAGAGGATGGGAGACATTATGATGGGTATACTATAGAGGATGGGAGACATTATGATGGGTATAGAGGATGGGAGACATTATGATGGGTATACTATAGAGGATGGGAGACATTATGATGGGTATACTATAGAGGATGGGAGACATTATGATGGGTATACTATAGAGGATGGGAGACATTATGATGGGTATACTATGGGAGACATTATGATGGGTATGGGAGACATTATGATGGGTATACTATAGAGGATGGGAGACATTATGATGGGTATACTATAGAGGATGGGAGACATTATGATGGGTATACTATAGAGGATGGGAGACATTATGATGGGTATGGGAGGGAGACATTATGATGGGTATAGAGGATGGGAGACATTATGATGGGTATACTATAGAGGATGGGAGACATTATGATGGGTATACTATAGAGGATGGGAGACATTATGATTGTTTTAGAGGATGCGAGACATTATGATGGGTATACTATAGAGGATGGGAGACATTATGATGGGTATAGAGGATGGGAGACATTATGATGGGTATACTATAGAGGATGGGAGACATTATGATGGGTATACTATAGAGGATGGGAGACATTATGATGGGTATACTATAGAGGATGGGAGACATTATGATGGGTATACTATAGAGGATGGGAGACATTATGATGGGTATAGAGGATGGGAGACATTATGATGGGTATACTATAGAGGATGGGAGACATTATGATGGGTATAGTATAGAGGATGGGAAACATTATGATGGGTATAGAAGATGGGAGACATTATGATGGGTATAGAGGATGGGAGACATTATGATGGGTATAGAGGATGGGAGACATTATGATGGGTATAGAGGATGGGAGACATTATGATGGGTATACTATAGAGGATGGGAGACATTATGATGGGTATAGAGGATGGGAGACATTATGATGGGTATACTATAGAGGATGGGAGACATTATGATGGGTATACTATAGAGGATGGGAGACATTATGATGGGTATACTATAGAGGATGGGAGACATTATGATGGGTATACTATAGAGGATGGGAGACATTATGATGGGTATAGAGGATGGGAGACATTATGATGGGTATACTATAGAGGATGGGAGACATTATGATGGGTATAGTATAGAGGATGGGAGACATTATGATGGGTATACTATAGAGGATGGGAGACATTATGATGGGTATACTATAGAGGATGGGAGACATTATGATGGGTATACTATAGAGGATGGGAGACATTATGATGGGTATAGAGGATGGGAGACATTATGATGGGTATACTATAGAGGATGGGAGACATTATGATGGGTATACTATAGAGGATGGGAGACATTATGATGGTATAGAGGATGGGAGACATTATAATGGGTATACTATAGAGGATGGCAGACATTATGATGGGTATAGAGGATGGGAGACATTATGATGGGTATAGAGGATTGGAGACATTATGATGGGTATACTATAGAGGATGGAAGACATTATGATGGGTATACTATAGAGGATGGGAGACATTATGATGGGTATACTCTAGAGGATGGGAGACATTATGATGGGTATACTATAGAGGATGGGAGACATTATGATGGGTATAGAGGATGGGAGACATTATGATGATAGGGATGGGAGACATTATGATGGGTATAGTAGAGAGGATGGGAGACATTATGATGGGTATACTAATATAGGATTATGGAGACATTATGATGCTGCAAATAAGATCTGTTTTAATCTCAAACAACACTGTTTACCTACCGATGTCGAAAGATATTCATTGTGTTTGCTATTAATTGAAAACTTGTAGCAATACATTATTGTAATATCTTGTTGTATCTTATCTAACTCATCAATTGGGCCTAGGAATTTTCTCTTTTATAATCAGAGTTTGGGTTTATCTAGATCTTCAACTTAATTACTGGATGGTGATGTATTAATTGTCATTGTCTTTTGTCTTTTCGAATATATCTCAACTACAGGACATTTTCTCGTAACGAAAAGGTTCTTTTTCTTTACCGTTATACAACTTACAAAATGTTCAATGGGGAGTTAAGGAGGTATGTCTAAAATAAAGCATAAAAGCGAAACACGAAGAACCGACTTATCAACAATTTTTTAGTTAAAAGTCGAATTCGTTTAAACTACAGCAACATATTAACAAATGAAATATTGACAATCCGGCTCCTTAGATTAAAAGTTATCAAAGCCAAGTGTTCCGGAAGGGTACGCTTCTTGTGCTTCACCAACAACACCCAATGTGTAAATATATATCAATGCAAATTAGTCATGACACGTCCCCAAATGAGTACAAGGCTTACAAAAACGTAGCTACAATAGGAATACTAATGAGCATCAAATACTCTGTCATCATATCGTACATAGATAGGCCCCGTCTGAAGTTCAATCCTTTGGAATCGAAACTGAAGGAAATAAAATGAGATCATTATGCAAACTTTAAAAATGACAAATGAGATGAGATTGCATCTGTGAAATGTTGGAATCTTGCAGGAACACAAGAACAGATGTTAGCATGAAATGATTATGGAGATTGAAAATGAAATAACAATACCGTACTATCTTTTGGAATATCAGACAGTGATGATTATTTATGTGATGTCGGGGTTGTATCACTTGGTTATCAATTATTTTATATGTTTATTGTTCTACCATTGTACCGAAAATTTTGTCATGATTTATTTTGATTTTCGCTATATTTTATGTAAGCGAATGAGTTTTATCGTGCTTATTTGCAGGGAAGAAAAGTTTACAGAGTTACAGTAAAAGAGGTAAGCATGCTATGAAAATTCACAGAAAGCATCAAAATATTAGAGTATAACTGAAAACTACCATTCTACATAGTAATCATGTTTTGATTATTTACATAGATATTTTTCTCGTGTATAAAATCAATTTGCTTTGCTGTGTTGTAGTCCCATATTCCCTCAATATAACGTGTCCTGGGGAAACACGATAATAACTACAGATATTAATTAATTCTTCTACTATTGATCCAAACAGCTGCTGCCTCTCATAAAAAATATATATTTGAATCAACACAACACTAGGTGAGATGTATCATCATATTATCACATATTGTGGCTAATCATATGTCATCATGTCATATGATACAAAAAACACCTTTCACAGACGTGAGGTCAGGTTTAACTATCACACAGTCCGTTTTATTATATTTAGAAACATTCACAAATAAGAAAATTGTTGTCTGTAATTCTTACATCATACCACTGAAAGTACCGACAGCTTGTCTGACACAGCTATGTAAAAATATTGACAGGTCATTAGCACATGTTAACATAATCGTTTCATGTTTTTTTCTTAACATACTATTCCACGATAATTTTTCATTGTCTTTATATTTTGTTATTTTCCCCTTTAAAAATGTATATTCTTTGTTGTTTCTTTATTTATAAAACATCTTGTGTGAATAATGAAATAGTGTGAATATTGAAAAAAGTAATGTTTGTGATGCGTTCCCTTTACGTCTAGTCAATGAAGATTACTATTTGGAAAATGGTATTTTTCGCTGTGGCAATTTGTTACCCCCGGAATTCTCTCCAAGTAATTATTTTCCTAAAAAGATATATGAATTGACAAAGTATTCTTACGTTTGCGTCTACTGCAGATGTGTTGGATCACTCTATTGGTAATACTACCGACATCGTAAAATTTGGATTTCAATTTGAAGCTAGCACATTACAAAACGGAAACCAATAACTGATATGTCTCTTATCTTCATGTCATGAATCAATTGTACGTCCTTGTCTCTATTTCGTTTCTTTCGTTTAGTTAAACCATGTATTTAACCTTTCTTCAGATAAGTATATTTTACAATAAGTTAACTTTCGTAAAGATATTATAAAATTAATGATTTTCAAAGGGAATGGGTGAACGCAGATTTTTATTGTTCTGGCCTTACATGTAGACAGATCAATTATGTTCAATACAATTTAATATGTGATGGCTTAATATTGATACTAATAAAATCACTCCTACAAATCCTCAATAACATGTATACTACACTTTAAGTTCCAATGTTCCACTATGTTGCAGGAGGTGCCGTATATTTTCCAGAAGCCGGGATCACCTGAAGGACCGAACAGCTTTGAAGGATTGATAATAGACGTCCTTCATCAGATTTCTCAAATACTTGATGTTAAGTTCTCACTTAATCACGTCGGTGATAACGAATTCGGCGAGAGGAGAGATGACGGAACTTGGACGGGCATGATCGGCGAACTTCAAAGAAATGTACGGAACTTTAGGACATCATATTGTCTTATTTACTTGAGAAACTTATACGAGTGTCGATGTAATATTGAAAACATTAACTAAGTTCAGTCGTTTCAGAATCGAAGCAATATAGAGTGGCATTGGCGGTTTTGATAAATTTCATGTTACCTGTACAACATTGCGAGATTCTATTTCTCATATAATTAATATCTATGAAAAATATACGTACGTGCTCCATTGAAAGTTCCATTTTTAAAATTGGATTTATGATTTATTAGTTACATTGTTGTTTCCGTTGCAACAATTGATATGAACAAAGTAGGAAAAGGATGCTTTCTTTTCTCAGGAATCGGATATAGCTGCCGGACCATTGACCGTCACAGCTGATCGGGCCCGTATAGTAGATTTCTCGCAGCCATTTTCCAGCGCGGGACTTAGAGTGCTGGTCAAGCGGCCTGAAAACACGCAAACGTCTAGCGACCAAGTGGAACTGTTCCTTCGTCCGTTCAGTGTTGGTGTATGGATTCTGGTTCTCATCACAGCAGTCGTGTTACACCTACTCTGGTGTCTTAACCTAAGGTATGTCGAAATTGAGTTTGTTACACCAACTCCGGTGTCCCAACCTAAGGTATGTCGAAGTTGAGTTTGTTACACCTAGTCTGGTGTCTCAATCTAAGGTATGTCGAAGTTGAGTTTGTTACACCTACTCCGGTGTCTCAACCTAAGATATGTCGAAGTTGCGTTTGTTCGAGGTTTAGACGGCCCCAAGAACAAGAACAAAATTGAAAGAATGGGAAACAGAAGACAGTAAATAATGCATTGAAATGTATTTAACTCTACTGTATTGTTGTATTTGGGAAAATTCTGCAAAAGGGAGGAAAATAAAGTACAGAAGTACAAAAGATACCATTAAAACTCGAGATAAGATTTGTAATATCCGCTATAGCGGTAATCCTATATTTTCAATAAGTTATGTATTCAATCATTATACTGCCTTTGGTTTTTCTCATAATTTTATTTATTAGTTTCACTTAGTTTGTTATAGGTAATCCTCGTACTAACCATATAGCTAATAATCTATGGTTGTCACTGTGTTTACACGATGTTTCACACCTAATATTTCTTACATCATGTATTACTGGATTGAAAGTTATTTTCATTTCCACAGATTTAATCCTAAAGAGAAACTACATACCAATGAGAAAAACTACGAATATGAATACTGCACTGACATAAACGGTGAGTACATGGTGATGACAAAAAGTATTTTATTGTATTGGAAGATTTGGAATATTTGAAATGTGTTTAAAATAAATCCAATTTCATTTTATTTAAAGAATGTTAGACATATCTATTCTATTTTGTCCAAATCTCTTATTTGTTGTATCTATCATTTGTCAAAGTTTGTACAAAAAACACTAAGTTAATTGACCTTTTAACACAATATTTGAATTAGTTACAGTTGAGCCAAATAATGAATTAATAGTGATGCTAAGGGCCTTAATTGTGAACTCTCGATGGCAAGAACTTTAAAAAATCTAGATGTGAACCTTATGCCTTCCGATCTGTTCTACACCAATTCTAAGTTCCAGTCATCATGCAAATCTTAGCTGGCTGTCTACTGTGACTATTATAACTATTATAACTTTATTCTGGAGAGTACTTCGTAGCCATGTGATTGGCTGTAAGGCATCACATCGATAAGTGTAAAAGGACACAAGCATTCTCTGTAACAAAACTTTTCTGTCTGTGAGAAAAGATTGATGTTTAATCGGCAAACACATAACGCGATATACATATGATAAAACAAGTTATCTCCCATCTTATTCAAGTAATGTAACGCTAATCTTAGGCAGCCACACAGATACAACCATGTAAATACAAAGATAAATCAATATGGTCTTTTTTGAAATTTTTTATTTGTTTTTTCCAAAATAGCCTAATCTCTAGAGAACGATTGAAACATGAAATTAGTAGAAGGCTAAATTTTCTTTCAGAGAAAAAAATGTGTACATCAAAAGCAGCCTGGATTTTGTCGGTTTCTTCCAAGATATTTATGATATCATCGGTGACAGTCTACACAGCACAGCTGACGAGCATATTGGTTAAGTTGTCCACCTCAGAGAGACAGTATCTTCCTTTCGTCACGTTTGAGGGACTTCTGAATCATCCAGATATAAACTACAGTTGCTTGGACAAAAGTTTCGCTTGTAAATATTTTGAAAACTCAGCGCAACCTTTGGAAAAGTCAATAGAACTCCATCTTAGATCGGGCAAAAAAACAAGATACAGTGATTTAGATACAGCAATTAATGATTTGCGAAAAAGTACAAACAAACAACAGGCGTTGATTATGGAGTCAGATTTTGCGTACTTTGTTGCAAGTAAAGAACCATGTGACCTCATTGTTGTAGGCGAGGAACTTGGGGACATGTCTCATTCTTTCGCTTGTAGGCCTGGACTAAGCATATGTCATGACCTTGACATTGCTATCCTGACATTGAAATCCATTGGGGAGTTAAGAAGGCTGCGTGATAAATGGTTAAGTGGACCATGTGGAAAGTATTCGGAGACTGCATCTCCTTATGCGCATGCAAATAAATATACTACTGACAATAAATTGGCTGTACATAGCGAGAGAACGGTGAAGAGCTTCGTAATACCACTACTCCTAGTGTACAGCGGGATTGTGGTTAGCATTCTTGTAATGTTTTGGGAAATTTATCGCCCAAAATCGAAAGAGGTAAGTATTTACGAGTTCTGGACCCTCATTCCAAATCTGACTGTTTTTCCGAAGTCAGTATTACATCTAACTTTGAAATAAGGATATATTTGTCGTGATGGATTAATTTAGAGTTTTCATTTCCTTTGTAATTGTATGTTAATTTATCTGTATATTTTACAATTAAATCTATCGGTAAATTTAAACGTCTGCATAATGAAATCATACTGACAATTTTTTAATTGAATGGTTTTAACAAGATATAACAGCAATCCATATATTTAAACTGTGTAATCATTGACCCATTATCTCACCTTTACTTGTAGGTTAAGATGTTCCGAATTGAATACCATGACCGAAGTGACGGCATTGAAATCGAATCAGGAAGTGACGTCATTAAATGAACTGAAGGTTGAAGGTTATAAGAGCTGTTGATTCTACCTCAAGAGAAACAAATTTTCCTTGTAATCAGTGTGTCTCACGGAATGGATTTCACCAGTAAATAATGGCTATCCGCTTCGAATACTTCAAGCTGTATCGTCACGGTTGAATAGAAGGAATCTGTGAATGTCGACAGATATGCGTTCATAGTAACAGATATAACAAATGGATACTGGAAACCATTGAACGGTCAGTGAATAGGGATGTACGTAGGAAATTGAAGGGATGCTGCGTTTTTGTTCTACACATAATCAATTATGATGCTAAATCATCAGACTGGCAACACTAGACAACATACCAAATGAAACCCTCCAGTCCACATCGACTTGCTTCTGTTGTTTCCGTTGACTTCAGCTAAAACACTAATAAAACCCGTTGTGTGATTGTTACGATCATGGAGATTTATAGGACGAACAGTGTATTTGCTGAACAGAACAAGAAAGGAATTTCAAAGTAGGATGATGGGAATTATGTGCAATACCACACTGATATAACTCTTTTTTTCATATGTTAACTTACCAATAATAATTATCAACGAAATTGTCCAATAATTACATGAATCATGCGCGTCATCATTTTTAAACAGGCACAATTAGCAATAGTTTATAATAAAGACTTAGTAAAAGAAATATGTTATTGTACATCAAATATTTCAAACTTCAGTAAAACAAAGCTAAGGATGAATTGTCTTCATCTTTTAGTTAATCGTTTTCTGAAAAATAAAATTTAAACAAGATGAAATTATGATTTCTAGATAAAAAGAAAAATGAATGATATTTAAACAAGGAAATATCTAATACGGAAGATGATCAGAACTGAAAATGCCATGACATCCTTCCTAGAACAAATATCAACATAAGAAAACAGTTTGCCTATTGAAATCGCGAATTTAACCCCCGCAGATATAACCACGTTTACAATACACTGGACGCTACTAAATAACTACTAAGATTTTGAAATTCAATAATTATCATCTTATTTCGATTATCTTATTATCAAAACAGCAAGTTAAATTTTTTGCCGACATAGTTATACCGTTCGAACACCTTCGTTGAACCCTGACCAATATTTTTTTTTTAAAAACCAAATCATTCGGATTACAACGTTAAGATATTGCATAAACAATGTCATTGCCGTCAATATTATTTCTTGAACAGTGACCAACTTTAATGTAGTCAACTAAACTATTATCGTAAAGTGACGTCATTGTCACTGATCAGTTTACAATGAATAGGTTTATCATAATGAGATAATTAGTACACTACTGTAGTTAAGCTCACGATTGTCATGTTGTTTACTAGTTCATAGTGCACTACTTACTTCCGATTTAACCAATCTTGGATGTCGGTGATTAGGTAGTCGACACTTAAATTCCAGGTTTTAATATATTTGGCCTTCGTTTTACTCCATGTTGAATTTGGAATTATGTTGTGTTAACATATTTTTGTTACAGACTCATTTGAATATATTCCTTACATAGCTAGATAGTACCTACTGTTAAGTTAGCTATGGACAATGAAACAACACCAAAGGATTATATATTTATATCCACATAAAAAAGAGATTCCATACGAATTCTACAACTGTTGTTACACACGTGATGTGACAATAGTAAATAGTCTAGACGAATGGAAGTTGCTCCTTCTATACCGACCACAGCAGCATACTAATGTGTTAATGTATTTACGTCTCATGGTCTTCACTGTCAGGGCATACACAATGAAATTTACAGCATTGTTAAACACCATCAAACAATAAGTTAGCAGCAAAATCGACTGGAAGAAAAAATTCCCCTCGTAAGCGATAATTTTGTTCTTATCACATACCAATATCACATAGCACACATCATTTGGTAAACAACACACGACGTAAGTTATACTCATCGTTAATAACATACGGGTTATTTTCCGTTGTTTTTGCCACCGACGTCTATTTTTCGTCAATGTTAATTTTGTTGTATTTGACAGGACCTTTTTAACTCCGGTAATGATGGCGACATTTAATCCCATTATCAGTAAGACAGTCAAAATTCCGTACACCAAATGTAACACAACACTATACCAATCGATAAATGTGTTATCATCACTTGTCGTTACTATTGCCAACTCGTAGGTAGAAAAAGACGAATCATCTCCAATAACATCGATTTGAAACAGCTCCACTGAACACGATGATAATGTTGCTAAATACACTGATACCGTCACAATGAATCCGACACGCTTAGAACACAATCTGTGTATCAGAAATGGACGAAAAACAGCCAGACACCGTTCTATTACTATGGCAACAGTTAACGTTTTAGAAGCCGATTCAAAAGAGAAAACAAGACGTGACATGAAGAAACTATCTATGTTTAACGATTTCAGTTGTTTTTTGAAGTATAAATTCCGTATCTGTATGAAGGTAAAAAATCCCTGTCCAATCATACACAGTTCGTCTGCTAGAGCTAGTCCTAACAGTAAGTGGGTGGTGGACGTTTTCTTTTTTTCTCGATAAAACACAGAAAACGTCAGTGCGTTTCCGAATGTCCCAATAACGCATATTATTGGTAGAATGCCACAATAAACAGCGGACATCAGCTGGTTCATGTCTTCAGCAGAAAACACACCCTCCTCTTCGGAGTACATTCTATTTAGTGGTCATCAGCCGGTTCATGTCTTCAGCAGAAAACACACCCTCCTCTTCGGAGTACATTCTATTTGACAGACATCGACTAGATCATGCCTTCAGTAAAAAAACACCTTCCTTTTCGGAATACATTCTATTTAGTGGTCATCAGCCGGTTCATGTCTTCAATCAAAACACACATCCTCCTCTTCGGGCTACATTCTATTTAGTGGGCATCGGCCGGTTCATGCCTTCAATAAAACACACCCTCTTGTCTGGGATATATTCTATTTCAATGTTTACATGAAAAGAAAGCAGATATTTCCCTTTGTGTCTCACTTATCTATTAGAGATGTATTCATCAGGTAAGTATTTCTTCTGCTTACACACGTCTCTAAGGACATAAGGAATTAACGCAACCACATGTAAAGTCGATCACAGGCTACGACAGACAGCATACTATTATCGAGACAAAAAAAGAAAGCAACTTTGATGATTGACATTGCGTCAGGTGATCACTTTCATCCGTTTCAGGGATACAATTTAATTACCTACCAAGGTGTAAAAACATGATAAGCCTAATGATTATGTATACACACCTAACAAACAAAACATTCCTGCCCTTCCTAATTTTGTATTTTGCACGTGCCACTAAATATATAATTACCTTTTATCAGTATACTATTAAACTTCCACTCCTTGACTACTCAGCGGGCGATAACATCCACCGTAATAGATCGTTATCGATGTGTTGGTAATCTAATTACACTATTTTTACAACCTGTAGATGTTTAAACCGTTCACTCTATCAATGTTTTACGGTCACTTGTTTAACAATATTCTTCTAATCTTTCCGGTTTCTGGTCATTTTGTTTCACAACAACAAACAGGCATCAAGGTAATATACTATATTGGGTTATCTCTGTTGTGATAAATAAGAAACAGGGGTGCTCAGATTGTACGAAAGATACACAAATGACTAGCACCTTTTGAAACAAATTAGATTTATAAAACGTTGAGCCAAAAAAAAGGAATTAAACTTCGTCATACAGCTGTTTCGTCCTGATATAACTGGAAAGTATGCTAATGCTATGGGTCTAAATTTTATGGAGAGAGTTGGGAAAATCTACTGTGATCGAAAGAAATGTTAAAATCTAGATTGGAAGATACACTAATCTGTAATGAAATAAATCCATTATCTTTGATATATAATAATGATTTTCCTAAGACCGTTTAGTCATGTTTTTATTCTGAACCGCACCACTATTTGCATGAATTAAAACTTCGCATACAGGTTAAGTCTAACCTCGGGATTTTAAATGCCTCCAGAATTGTATACGGCACATTCTTACATATAATGTCAAATACTGTGTAGGCCGATTTCCCACATACGTGCACCTCCCTTTCTATGTGAAAAATTAAAATTGTAATGGTACTTCACGGCACTGAGAAAACAATAACACTATTCCGTGCATAACTGATAAAAGGGTTAAGTAAGAAACAAATTGTTTCATACAGCTGTTCCGCCCTTCTTATACTCGCCTGTGGTGTATATAGCCTCAAATGTTGAAACTTAGGATGCGAGTAAAGGAAATTCAAATTGGGCGAAATTAATGACAAATATTTTCAGGTAGCAAAAACTAAACATTAAAAAAATCACATATACTCGTGTTTTCATTTCTTTCAACTCACTTATTTATTTTATAGAAACTTAATAACTTTTATTTTCATAACGATCTTAAAACACGATCTTTTTCTGATGTGGATCAATGTCCTATAAGAGTCAACAAACAGCTAAACATGGGAGAGTTACATTCTTCATTATTGAAATTATTGGGTACATTTTAATGATAACATGCACTGTTCACCATTTCACTCCAAGTAGGGAAAAAACGCCTATCATTATCTATCAAAAATCATACTTCCTGTATAAGCTATATGGAAAATCCTATGCAGATATTGTACGCGAATAAAGAGCAGTTTTCCGGTTCTTGTCATTTCGTTAAAGTTGATGCAGTTAGGAAGTTTAACAGGAATCCGATGGCCCATTATATAGCACAGTAAAACAGAAGTGTCGCCGAAGATTGTTATTGAACCAAGCTATTATAGTACGTCATGATACATTTCTAAACCATCACTTAATGCATTAGCTAATACGTGTAACTTAGAGATATTCCGGATGTCTCTTACATGGAAAGAATTCGTAATGCCTCTTTGAAAGCAAGTGCTTGGCAAAATATTTATTTTTAACGTGGTAAGCTAAATCCATGAGTAAGACGTTGACAATATAAAAAAATAAAAAGAATCTACAAAGTGTAGGTTTTCGACGGATATCTAAAACTGAACTTGACCAGAGGTAATCACCTTGGTCACCTGATCAAATAGAACAATTAATCTTTAAACAAAAATCCTCGTTAAC